GAGCCGTATGTGTAGATGTTGGTCTTTTAGTGGCCCTTTTGATCTGACTCCTTTTGGAGTGTACGAATGTTTGTTATCACCTATTCTCGTATATCATCGTCGACTTAAATCACGTTATCCAATAACGGAATTAAATAAGTCGAATAACGAGAATTGACTTGATAATACATATATTTCGTACATGAAATGAATGAAACATAGCAAAGGAAAACGACACGCAGGGAAGATGGCTGGGAAGCCAACTCCAATTCAAGCCGAACATTACTCAATATTTATAGGCAGACAAAATGAACTACAGACATGTGATGAGTCATGGGACATCAAGTGTACATACATATACGCTCACATGAATACAGTCAAGGCTAACAAGCGAATAATTAACAAGGTCAAAACATGACTCAAGTAGAATGGGTAGAATGGAATGTCCGGAAACTAGAATAAGATATACTATGGGCTAAAACGAATGACTAACACTACATAGCCCCCTCGTAGAAAATAGCACATTTAAAAAATGTCTGTTTTCGAAAATAACACTGAAGTGATATGAAGCTAACGTTAACAATAAGTAGCCAAAAAATTGTACAACACTCGATAAAGTACAGTGTCTCATGAGGGGTGAGCGTATTATATGAAAATGTCATACTTATGCAAAAGAATACATGAATATAGAAAAGGCCTCGGACAAAAATGGAAACGTTAGCATGCGAATATGAGCAAATTAATGAGCGTACAAAAATTAACATGTACTAATGCTAGGACTGTCTGAACGATAAAATAACACGTTTGTATGAGCGATTCAAATTATCGTGAAAATAGTAATAAATTGTTTGTGGGTACGACAGCGAAATAAATCGTCAAAATGAGTACAGTAGAATATGACAGAAATTGGCCTGTGATTCTGAAAGAATAGTGAAATATGCGAAATATATATTCTGTTGAGCCGCAGCAGAATAAATAGCATCGACTAGCGACGAGTGAATTCGAATTTAAATGCGTAATTCCCGTTCGTAGGATGATAATAGTTAAGTCGTGAAATGATAACTGCATCGACGGGTGATATTCGTTGCTGTACTGCAATTGATAATAATCATAAAATTTGAAGTCAGTGAACGTTGTCGTCTGCGTTATGACAGATGCATTGAGTTATCGTCAAATATGTATTAGTAGAATGACCAGAGGAACAGAATAGTGACTGAGTAGACGAGGTACATAGAGTCGTATTCCTTTTTGGTCATGAAGCCTAGAGTGGTTTGTGTGGTTTGAGGGAGATGCGCTCGATCTCGTTTGTTACAAAACCGTACCAAGGCATGACAAAGATACCAATACATATGATTAGCGATTGCGACGTATGAGACTGACTTGGATGTAACGAACAAGAGTGTATCTTTGAGAGACTAGCTCTAAACTCTATGTTCTGATATACTATGCGATGGGTATAGAATAGTAGTTGCAGTACTCGAATAGCGTTTCTGAGTGATAAGTGATGCAGCATGTAGTTATGCACGTGGAAGAATAGATAAAATGAACGTAATGGTTACTAGTCATCTAGTCAGAAGCATCCACAGACATAATAGGAGGCGATTTCGAAATGAAAAATGTATGTAGTGATAATATAAATTGCTGACCTCGACTAAGTGAATGAATGCAATATTAGTTCAAAATGACATGAAAAATTGGAACGAACTCACTTAAAGCAGGAAAATTTCACGTTTTCGAATAGTAAAAATATCCCAATGAGTTCTCACAAAGTGGAGTGGAATTTTCATAAAATGATAATTTGTTCGGTGAGTAATATGATTGCGAAAATGTCATAATTTAATGACAGCACGAACAAGATTAATAATTCCACATTCGGTCATGATATTGATAATAATGTAATAATAAGCACATAATGATAATTTGAATCGTAATGGAACAATCCGACAAATGTATCAATGAGGATAATTGACATGAGGACAAAGTATCGATAAGATAATACGACTTGAGCATGTCCATGTCATGTTGTACAGGCTTCGTTGATTGCGTCGGATTGGATATTGCGCTGGCTTCGCTGAATTTGTTCGTCGAACGTATAGAGTGCAGAAGTTCCTTCATCGACGTAGCTTGCTGCGTTGCGTTCGTCGTCGGCGGGCTTACCAATGATGAGACCCTTTCGCATGCTAAGCGAGCGACAGCCATAACAAAGCGATTTTGACACGTATGGAAGATGGCTGGGAAGCCAACTCCAATTCAAGCCGAACATTACTCAATATTTATAGGCAGACAAAATGAACTACAGACATGTGATGAGTCATGGGACATCAAGTGTACATACATATACGCTCACATGAATACAGTCAAGGCTAACAAGCGAATAATTAACAAGGTCAAAACATGACTCAAGTAGAATGGGTAGAATGGAATGTCCGGAAACTAGAATAAGATATACTATGGGCTAAAACGAATGACTAACACTACAGTCTGTGACAACCTGGGTTGATTGGTTAAGAATCGGCTGGAAACTTATTAGTAAGGTGAAAACACTAATGATTAAGCTTTCATTCACTTCCTAATTATACATAGGCATCATATTTCCTATCATTTTATACTGAATGTTGAAAGACTTGTGTGTTTGACAAGAAAACATCGCGCTCCACTGTGCACTATCTCACGACCTAAATAAAGACCTATTCACTGCTAGTTTGATTTCTTATGTCAATAATACGAAAGGTACTCATACACACGAAAGGTGTTATTTGAGAACAGCGCCTGTATGTATTTTTGATGTATATTTTAAAAATCATTCAACCTAGGGAGCTAAGCTGGAAATACTACTGGCTATTGGTATGGGTGTAAATATTGTACAATTGAGTTTATTGCTACGGTATCTGTTCGTGACAAAATACTCAATAAATCTCAAGAGAAAGTTATTAACCTCAAAATACTAGCCTGTTGATTAAGAGATTATGAATTACTTCACTAAAAGCTTTCTTGATATTTTGATTCAGTATAACCGCTAGGCAGATTTCAATTACCTCCCTTATTTTGTAGATCAGAGGAATTCTACAGGGGTTATAGCGTGATGTACATTTTTTTCTTAAAAGATAGTCATAAACTCGATGGCATGTTCCATTTAATAAATGTAGCATAACCAACCACATAATCAATATACAATGTAGCGGTAAAATATCCCCAAAATGAATAGCTCTGTAAGTTTTCGACATTGGATGCTGACCACATTAGTTTTAGTGAACTCACCTAGCTGAAGGCGCTAGATCATGCATCCGCACCAGATCACGAATGGGAACGCCGTGCTCAACATCTACTGCGATCGCTAGCCAGATTAGATCAGACGACTCTCGATATATTGATAATCATCAAACACATCTTCCGATCTCCACGATTCCGTCTTTTGATTTCTCTTGGTGGGTACAAGTTATATTAGAAGGTGTTACTGGTTGAAGCGTTGCCAAACACTGAATACCTGTGCCATATTCAGCAAATATATGGGTGTAGGTATGCTAAAGGTTCATTTTCACTAAACAGGTCCTCTCGGCCATTAACATATCGATCCTGAATTCTTTAAGGACTGTTTTAAGCTTCTAATTTATTTGTAGCCTAGAATTCATTCTGAACATCAGGCAATGGAAATTCAAACAATCGGTTGTTACGCTAAAGAAAAACCTAGAGAAATTAAACTGGGAAGACGTGATATATACTGTGAGGAAATGTAGCCTCGGATTTATAGTGATCGACAAAATTGTTATACATAAGTTTATTTTCAGCTGAGTCGTTTTAGGGTTATCAGTGTTTTGAAGGTTGTAACTTTCTTTCACGTGGTATTATTGGAATTTCCTATTAATTTTTCCCTTTCATTTAACATTTATTAGCGATAAGTAATTCATCACTGATAGGGTTCTATCAACTTTACACCTCATTTTGGGACTCAACATCATACATTGATTTCCCTAGTTTTTATGCTATCTACCTCTTTTTGCTAATAAACGTTATTATATTTGCTCTCTTATAATACTGAATCTCATCCTACCATAGAATTTCACATCTAATACCTGTCCTAAACTTTATATTTACATTACTTCAGATAATGTCCAGGCCATCTAAAAGACATATAATCTCTCCTGATGCCTATAGCATCTGCAAAAGATCAAAATTAGTCACTAGAGCGAATAATGTGAAGCCTTATAAACACACTGATCAGTTTGCATCCTACTCTGATCTTCCTTCAGCTACACTAAACGTGCACTGCTCACTTGGGAGTAGTGTGGCGTCGAGTCACGTTTGACTATGATCAACAACACAGGGAGATTTTGGACCAGAACAGGATAAACCTCCGAGTAAACCAGACATCAGAGGGCGATTAAAGGTTGTGGCAAGATATATATGTTGGCGATCTCGTTATATACCGAATAACATGAGTGGAAGTGCGTCAGCTCACTGTGACGCTTTCGCCGTTTAGGGTGAAGCTTTCAACTGCCAGCGAAATCGTTCTACTAACCCAATAGCTTGTGGATGGAAGGCGGTCATTCGGAATCGTGTGTTTCTCAGGAGTGTGGTAATACAACGGTAAAGCCACATTCGAATTGACGTTCACGGTCTGAAGTGATACTTGGAGGACAGTCAAAGTTTACTGCCCACCGTTCGACGAAGGCGTGTGCCACTGTTTCAGCAGTAATGTCCTTGATTGGTACTGCTTCTGACCTTTGTGTAAAACGGTACACGTAAGGAGGTGAAAGTGTTCATTTTAGTCCAATAATAATCCTACCGAATGCAGATGAACATGGTCGATAAGAGTGTAGGGAGTTTTGGAAGATCCCAACGGACACGTTGTATCTCACCATAGTCAACCAAGCCCACTCACCACTTAGACACAGACCCAAAAAAAGACAGTTCACTACTCTCCACAACCAATGTTTATGTTTTGAAGTTTGTTTCTATTAGCTACTGACACAGGTCGGTTGCTTTGACCTAGTGAATTCAAGCCGCCTATTTCGTTTCTGGTCATGACCATGGTGAAATCGGCCGTAAAGAAGGGACAAAAAAGATTGACTCACCAAGAGGATCCGAAAATTAGGGATGGAGTTGTTAAACATAGGGGTTTGTTGCTATCAAAGTCTCAATGTTCTTAGAGAAACTAACAAGCAGACAAAAACAAAGGCTTAAGAAGCGTTTCCTGAAATCTGATGAACTTCTTGAAAATAGGACGCATAAAAAGGTACTTTTGTTGATGACCTTCTCTCTATTAGGTTTATGAGTCATCTGACAGTGTGTCTGCGACTCGAAGTGGATTTTTTGAAAATGACGGTGACGAACTTATGATTGATGATTTTGGACGTCTATCGGATTTGGAAGAAGACATTGAGACAAATGCGGATTCTGTAGAACCTGTAAATGAAAAAGAGGATATGATAACAAACCTCACTTCCGAAGATGCGGTTGGAAAGTCTGCAATGGATTCCAGTACATTAGACCAACGCATTCGGAACTGGCTTTATATCCTCTCCGATTTCAAAAACAGAGCACCTGCAGACCTCAATAGGAGTTTGTGTGTTCGGACTCTGATAAGCGACTTATGTTCTCGCTACTCGTACAACCAGTTCCTTATGGTGAAACTTCTTGATTTGTTTCCCAAAGAGGTAATAAATATTGGAACTCAAATTCAGTCGCAGATTGTTGAGGTTTTAGAAGCTAATGAAGTCGACAGGCCAGTGACCATTCGCACAAACACCTTAAAGACACGTCGCAGGGAATTGGCTCAAGCAAGTCCTCTTTGTTTTATAATAATTAGATAGGCTTTAATAAATCGCGGTGTAAACCTTGATCCTTTGGAACCGTGGAGCAAAGTTGGACTTGTTGTTTATTCATCACAAGTACCATTAGGCGCAACACCAGAATATCTTGCCGGTCATTATATACTTCAGGGAGCTAGTTCTATGCTTCCTGTAATTGCCTTGTCCCCTCAGTTAGGCGAGCGTATCTTGGATTTGTGTGCTGCGCCTGGTGGGAAAACAACTTACATTGGCAAGTTTGCAATTTAATTTGATGTACTAATTAGTCGAAGTTTTGGAATTATTGGTGTATCTTCAGTACTATTATTTACCGTGTTTTTATTAACTTGTGTTATTTGAGATGGTTATCTGAATCCATTACAGGGAATTGGTTTTTGCTGTTTTGGGTATGTCCAGTTCTCAAGATAGCATTATATCACTCAGGTTTCGGAAATTATTGGATTTATTTACCGGGTTTCCGATTTTAAACCCTGTGGTACTAAACTTAGTCCCGTCACACGCGAGTGATACTTCCTATATACTAATGATTCTACATAGCTTACTTATTCATATCTGTAAGATAGGTACGAATCTTTACTCTTATCCGTGTCAACTTCAACTTTGCCAGGAGGAATCGGCGAACTATTTGTTCCTTGGGATCTGCGTCTGGGCAGTTAGAATTAGGTCTTATTTTCGGAGGGCTATTATTTCTTAATATTCCTCCTAAAAACTGAAAGGAGTGACAGTTTAGTTAATAATAGGTGTGCTCGGTGGGTAACACTCAAAATATTCTCCCTTACTACTTACAGAATTAAAGTAACCATTGAGCCTTGAAAGATTCAACCGAAGAGTAGTGAGTTCCGCAGCTTACTGATTAGAGCTGAGGAAAGGTGTGCACGAGCTTAATATAAACATCATTAGGCTAGTTTGTTGTGAAACAGTTAATTGCTTATATTTTAACTGAAGAATTGTAAATGTTTGGTCACTCAACAGTTTTGTGTATACTCTTTTCCATTACTCATAAGCAAAACAACGATTTAAGCAACATATTATAAGTTTGTCGTTCTTATAAGCTATCCACAATCCTCAGCATTCTGATGTCAAAATAATGAAGTTCAGCATACTTGTTTTTCTGAAAGGTTTTCTCAAAAGTTTTATTCCTCATCAATCGTATGAAAAAATGAGGCGCTGAGAATGAGCCCAAACTAGCATTAGATACCGGTCACAAATATCTCAGAATTGTAGATTATCAGGTGGTGAGGCTGCGGAAAAGAATGATTCCAAACCCAGTTCGAGTCGGATAGAAAACCAACTCGATTGCCTTCGGATCTGTCACGTAAGTGCTAGGTGTTTGTTTGATAAGGATTCGAAACGTGGCGTGCGGTGTATTATAAAGAACTAACATTACTAAACTTAAATTACTATGAGCTGATAAAACCCAGAAGCATAAAAGCAAATCAGCAGCAAGATTTGTTGGATTCAATGCACTGTTGTGGCCGTAAATATGTAGAAAACACTTGAAATTGTGATGACTACCATCTGACACCAAATACTCGGTTATTGTAACACAGTCATACGTCTGAATAAACTGAAGATACACTATTTAAATTACAAGAACCGAAGTACTTTTCTAAAACAGACGTAAGGCATGTGCATTGGCGAATTCCGTTGGATGCGATCCTTGGTGAACTAACTAGCAATAATGGAATATTCGGCCTGCTCGTATACAAGCTCCTACCATTCAGATGTATTGTTTTATCTGCGAGATTTCACAAGAATATAAATCAGATTATCACCTGTTTTGACGGTGCTAAATCTCATCAGGCAAACATCATAGTTCATGCTTACAATACTGAGTAACAAAGCCAGAATCTTTTAGTTATTTGGACACTTTTGACACAAATGTGATCGTGCTGTGTCAGCTACGATTTATTTCTATCAACTTTCCAGGCCGTACTGTAGATGCGAAGGGTTTTTAACCTGATACGAGTAATCTGACTCCACTGATTTAAGCACCGTCAAATAGGAATATTCCGGTACTCAGACCATGAGTTGGTGCCCTTCAGCTTTATCTCAAATTTATTTCCAAATTCGCAAATTTATTATCACCAGTTAGCGGCTTGACTTCTAGCATTGAATTAGTATGGGAGCACTGACGCGAGGATATGCTGAAAAGAAAACAAAACAAATAGTACACCGAGTAATCATCACACTAAATTAAATGGAGGTAATTTTGAATGAAAAGCATAGTGAGTAATGGATATGATCCTGCTATTTCATCTCATCACATCAGCTCGACTTCTTTTCAGTGGAATACGTAGGAATAGTTTTTCAGTATGGAGTGTAGTCGAAAAGCTTTTATCCTTTTTCTGTTCAGTTTTCTGAGTTTTTTTTGATCTACTACTTTTTTCAGTGCATATATGATCCTCTCTCCCAAATGAGACAATATTTGACCTTCATGTACTCACGTCACAAACAGTGTGACTTTATTAATCTTAACCACTCACATTTTAACTAAACGTGCGTATTGTGTTGTGTATCATGCACAGTGTTTGAAGGATCCTTTTGCATGGTAGTGATATCCATGAGTAGTATTATTCGTGGTTATGTTCACAACTTTTATATGAAAAAATATGATGCCATTATTCCGTTCATAATATGAATAAGCAAAATTTACATTTAGACTTGTCAGTTACAATGCATGTGATTCATGTCGGCTCAATTTCTCTTTAAAGCATTTAAATAGGACATCTGTATGTGTTTCGTACTAGGTGGATCAGTAGATAGTTTCATTCAGTTTATAGATGTATTGCAACTTCACTGACCCTCAGCCACTGAAATAAGGTTCACTAGTTTGTATGTGACATTCACTTTTTCCGGACAAACAAAATAAATTTCATGATAATCGTCGGATGTTTGTAGACAACCATGGTTGTACGATTTCAACATAAGTTGGTTTTCCATGCGATTCCCATCTAATTCGAGTAGGCTCCCAGTCAATCGACACAGGTCATCTACACTGGTTATCTACATACTCAAGAGTTTAACTGTCTAGATAAATCTGCATGGTACTCAGTGGAATTTTTTAACAACTCGAGATGACTGAATTCATCTACAAAAGTCCATAGCTGACACCTAAACCAACCTTCGAGTGCTGAAAAGATTAACGTACTCCATTCGTTAAGCATGCACTTCTGTCCAAATCTGAGGAGAATTCAGTCTTTCTAAAGCCATGTGCACTCAACATATACACATTATAGACAATGACTTCCGTGCCTTGTTTCTTTAATGCCGCTGAAGGACTAGGATGATTCGATAATGTTAAGCTGGGAATTTTGTTGAGAAACAGTTACTCGAATATTGCATTTCCAGAAACATAGAATACCTAACTGCAAGCCTATCAGTTCTTGCTACTCTGTGAATAAGTGATCGCCCCCAAACAACCGTTCATTTGACTACAAAGACTGAACCAAAACATTCAATTTGCAACAGGCCTTAGAATTGCGAATGGTTCTATGTGCTATCTATAAGACTTTAGTGCCTACCGTTCATCAATGTGGACACTCACTTATTTCTTATTTCTCATGATTGTTCGAGCTACAAACCAGCCTGTACCACACAAAGTCCCTTAAATTTGCAAACAAACTAAAGTGATAAAAATTCGTACCTATTGGCTTTTAAAACATTAAAAGGTATTACTGGTCAGAATACAATGAACGGCAACATATATAGTCACTCCAAACGAATAAGAAACTAATTCAAAAAGGCTCAAAGAAAAGATGGATTTCGATATCAGATTAAACAAATCGAAATGTTTGTCGGCAATCCGATTAGTTTATCCCATCATTCAGCCTCTATTCGTCAAGCCAAAGAATCAGTTCATCAGTTATTAGGTTCAAGCGACCCAAGCAATAATGACGGCATGCAGCAGAGCTCCTATTTTAGCAACATTTTCAAACACTTCATTAGTCCAATACAATTCACATCAATGGTTGCTTCATCTGCAACTTAGCAGGATTTTCAGATACAATTGTAGGCCCATGACAGCAACGTGCGAGAATGCAACATATATATAAGGAAGCTTCTAGTTCGAGAACGGCCCTGTGGTTCTGTAAGCCTTCGGCTTTCGATGCTGACCTCATTAGTTTCAATGGACTCACCTAGCTGAACGCGTTTGGTGACTAGTCCGCATCAGATCACCTAAGGGTACGTTGTGCTTCACTTCTCCTTCAACCTTTAGCCAACCTAGACGAAACGTTCTTTCAAAGTACCGATAGCCTTTTTAATACATTGTTGCGGTAAATAAATCCCCAAACTAAATAGCTCTGTAAGTTTTCGACATTGGATGCTGACCATATGTTTTAGTGGACTCATCTAGCTGAAGGCGCTCGGTCAGGCATCCGCACCAGATCACGTGTGGTAACGCCGTGCTCAACATCAACCTCGATTGCTAGCCAGATTAGATCAGATAATTCCGATATATGGGTCATCGCCAAATATACTCTTCCGATCTCCTCGACTCTGTCTTTTGATTTCTCTGGGTGGGAACGAAATACATTAGGTGTTACTGGTAGAAGCGTTGTCAAACACTGAATACCTGTAACATCATCATTGGTGAGACCGTCGTGATCTGGTACACCTTATTGCTACTGTGAGCCTGTTCCTTTTTGGGATTTTTATATATCATTGCCTTATTTTTTTATTTTTTTAAACATTGTGATTTTTTTTCCGTGTTTTTTCTTAGATATGTATATTTTCCCCTCGTTCATTATCATACTTCATATTTCATCATGACTGAACAGACACCTAAAGTACTCAAGCTTAAGACTTTGTCCCCACCTTCGTTTCAACTGATGCCTTTCTGGCCCGACAACATCGAAACCTGGTTCTGCTACGCAGAAGCCGACTTCCACGAGCACGGCGTGATCGACACACGTGCACAATTCCTCGCAGTAGTCAAGGCACTACCGCGCGAATTCAACAGGTACGTGACACCTAGTATGTTTACTAGTGATGTTTCCGACCCTTACGAAATCTTAAAACGCTCGATTCTTAAACGAGGAGATCTAACCGATCGACAAAGGTTAGATCAACTCTTCAATAACATCGACCTGCAACATGGTTCTGCGACAGACATGTTGCAACGGATGAGAGAGGTAATAGGCCCAAGAACATTCGACGAAGGTTTATTCAAACAACTCTTCTTGTCAAAACTTCCCCAACAGGTGCAAGCAGTTCTGGTCTCGTTCCAGAACAACGGCTTAGACGAGCTAGCTGCATCTGCCGACCGCATTCTAGAAATTACGAAATCTACTACCGAGGTATTTTCAGTCAAAGAAAAGCCTCACACGACTCAGAATGATCTAACCGACTTATGTCACACACTCACGCGTTATCTTAGTCTTCGTACCGACCGTAAAAGATCGCGCACACCACGTAGAAGCATTTCTCGTAAGCGATCTGTCTCTAGACCACGAGAGACAGATAACCCCGACTGGTGCTGGTATCATAACCAGTATGGAAAGTTTTCCAGAAATTGCAGAAAACCCTGCAATTTTCCCAACACGAAACCGACTGATTCGAAAAACAATTCGGGAAACTTCCAAGCCGGCACGCGTTAACGGCAACCGTAGCCAGCGAACATAGCCGTCTGTTATACGTCACAGATGTGATAACGAGAGTTCGCTACCTCGTCGATACTGGCGCAGAAGTTAGCGTTCTCCCAGCGAATCCCAACCATCGGCTTCAAAAATCGGCTATAAATTTACAGGCGGCAAACGGAAAACCGATCGCTACGTATGGCAAAACGTACGTTTACCTTAACGTGGGTTTACGCAAACCCATCCACTGGATTATCGTTGTTGCAGATGTTTCTATGCCAATCATTGGTATGGACTTTCTACAACACCACAATCTGATCATCGACACTCGCGAACGGAGGCTAATAGACGGAAACACTAATTTGTCCGTTTGCGTAACTTCTTTTACTGGTTGCGGAGTATCCCCAGTTACAGTTAAACATATGATAGACCCACTCTATTAACCACTACTCGATAAATACCCTGGGATACAACAAACTCAACCGAAACTACCGTGTGTAACCAGCAATGTTACACATCACATCACGACTACAGGACCACCTGTAATCTCTAAAGCACGACGACTAGCTCCTGAAAAGCTAAGGTTAGCGAAAAACGAGTTCGACCATATGATAGACTTAGGAATCATACGACCGTCAAGTAGCCCATATGCATCTCCGTTGCACATGGTCCCTAAAAAGGACAGCAACGACTGGCGTCCAACTGGTGACTATCGGCGACTGAACGCGAAAACCATTCCCGATCGTTACCCGTTGCCTCACATTCACGATTTGACAGCTACCTTGAAAGGTACAACTGTCTTTTCGAAAATCGACTTGGTTAAAGCGTATAACCAAATCCCTATGGCTACTGACGACATACCGAAAACGGCTATCATAACTCCCTTCGGACTCTATGAATTTTTGCGAATGCCTTTCGGTCTAAGGAATGCTGCTCAAACATTCCAAAGATTCATAGACGACGTTTTTCGAGGCCTCAACATCGTACACGCGTATGTTGATGACTGTCTAATCGCAAGTCCGGACAGAGAAACACATCTCAAGCATCTGGATCTTGTTTTCGAACGACTTCAAAAACATGGCATAACTGTAAACGTTCAGAAATGCCAATTCGGAACCGACTCGTTAGACTTCCTAGGACACACTATCGATGCTCAAGGCATTCGACCTCTTAGGACCAAAGTGGCGGCCATTCTGGATTACCCAGAACCGACCACCGTCAAGCAATTGCGCACGTTTAACGGCCTGGTAAGTTTCTATAGACGTTTCATACCCAAATGCGCATTACTTATGAAACCTCTGACCGACCAACTTCGTGGAAATGCGAAATCCATTAATTTGGACGACACCGCACGAAAAGCATTCTCCACAGTTAAGGAACTGATTGCTAAAGCAACAATACTCGCACATCAGGACACCCGAGCACCCATTAGCATCGCAGTAGACGCATCCGACTCAGCAATCGGAGGAGTCTTACAACAATGGGTTAACAACTCCTGGCAACCCTTGGCATTTTTCTCTAGAAGGTTGCTAGACACCGAATCGAGGTACAGCACATTCGGTAGGGAACTCCTAGCTATGTATTGTGCTGTACGGCATTTCCAACACTACATCGAAGGTCGTGAATTCACTCTTTTCACGGATCATAAACCGCTTACTTTCTCGTTAAGCTCTCCTTCTGACAAGTACTCTCCCCGTGAGTCTCGACAACTGGACTACATTTCGCAGTTTACTTCAGATATTCAACACGTCTCTGGAGCAAACAATGTAGTTGCAGACGCTTTATCTCGTATAACTTCCTTGAACAGTTTCCAAGGAATCGACCTTCTTAAACTCGCCCAGCTTCAAAAAGAAGACAGTGATCTTCAGCACGAGTTATCGTCCACAACACTTAAACTACGCATCAAACAGATGGGAACAGGTAAGGAAACCTTACTTTGTGACACATCTACAGGTAGGGATCGCCCAATCGTGCCGAAACATTATCGACGCAATGTCTTCAACACATTGCACAAACTTTCGCATCCAGGTGTTCGTGCAACCATCAAGCTTATAGCAGAAAGGTTTTGCTGGCCTGGAATGAATAAAGACGTGAGGGAGTGGGCACGCTCCTGTGTTAGCTGCCAAAAATCTAAGGTTATAAGACACAATAAATGTCCCTTAGGCTCGTTTAAAACTCCCGATGCTCGTTTCGACCATGTTCATCTGGATTTGGTAGGACCTTTACCAGATTCAAATGGATACTCTTATCTCTTAACCTGCGTAGACCGTTTCACTCGATGGCCAGAAGCAGTACCTATCAAGGACATCACTGCTGAAACAGTGGCTCACACCTTCGTCGAACGATGGGTAGCAAACTTTGGCTGCCCTTCAACCATCACTACAGACCGCGGACGTCAGTTTGAATCCGATCTTTTCCGTCGTCTGACCACACTTTTAGGAATCACTCGCTTCCGAACGACCGCCTACCATCCACAAGCAAACGGGTTGGTAGAACGTTTTCACCGACAACTGAAAGCTTCGCTATCAGCTGCAAACGTTTCACAGTGGACCGACGCTCTTCCACTCGTCTTACTAGGTATCCGCAATGCAGTGAAAGCTGACATTGGATACACTGCGTCTCAACTCGTTTATGGAACGACACTTCGACTTCCAGGAGAATTCGTGGATTCGTCATCCTCTTCAATGAACATGGATCTAACCTCCTACACGAACAGGCTTACAAACGCAATGCGTTCAGTTAAACCTGCTTCCACTCGACCTCAATCAACTGATGTTTTCGTTCAACCTGACTTACGATATAGTACACACGTTTTCATTCGTCGAGACTCGCATCGACGACCATTCGAATCAGCATACGAAGGACCCTTCAAAGTTCTTCAACGTGAATCTAAGTACTATATAGTCGATAAGAACGGAACCAACGATAGCATCAGTATCGATCGCTTAAAAGCAGCGTATTTAGAAGGAAATCCTATATACGTGGATTTTCCTTCGGTACAATCGAACGACACGACTCCGACACTTATAATATCTCATTCGACAACCAACACACACGATGATACTTCGACAGTATCCGAAAATAAACTTAAAACGACGCGTTCTGGAAGAAGGGTGAGATTTCCAGAACATTTAAACGACTATTGCACGTAAGGTACTTCTCGACATTTTATATTATTTTAAAAAAAAAACAACTTTAATATGCTTATATATTTTTATTTCTATCTAAAAAAAACAAAACCAAAAAAAATCAATTTTTTTAAACGCTATTACGTGTTCATGAGTTTATTTTCCATTTTTTTTCCGCCGACATTGTGTTTTTACGCACATACGAGTGTATTTCGACATGCACTTACATTTTCTTTTTTCTTTTCCAGGACGGCTGGAAAAGAACGATGACGTTTATGAGGATCCGAAATTTTCATTGTACATTTTCTTTCTTTACTATGTTGTACTTCGGTCCGTCGGATAATAGAAGCAGATATGAAAACGATGAATTACAACTGGACGGAGCTAGAAAGGATTGCCCAGGACAGGGTTGGATGGAGAATGCTGGTGAGCGGCCTATGCTCCTTCACGAGGAGTAACAGGCGTAAGTAAGTGTACCTCGGTCCCATATAGTAAGGAGAGACGACCAGACGCTGCTACACTTAGTAAGCTATCAGAAGAGTGTGTACCAACGACTTTGTCGTTGGGTTTAAACTTCTGGTTGGCCACGTCTTAGGGTCATCACTGCCCCACTAGGGGGGGAGTGATCTGTAGCGGTAAATAAATCCCCAAACTAAATAGCTCTGTAAGTTTTCGACATTGGATGCTGACCATATGTTTTAGTGGACTCATCTAGCTGAAGGCGCTCGGTCAGGCATCCGCACCAGATCACGTGTGGTAACGCCGTGCTCAACATCAACCTCGATTGCTAGCCAGATTAGATCAGATAATTCCGATATATGGGTCATCGCCAAATATACTCTTCCGATCTCCTCGACTCTGTCTTTTGATTTCTCTGAGTGGGAACGAAATACATTAGGTGTTACTGGTAGAAGCGTTGTCAAACACTGAATACCTGTGACATCATCAACATCTTCGAACTCCTTCATTTCCGAATTCTGATTTTAATTAGTTAGAAAATTTCAATCATGGAAGTATTACTGGCTAAGTTGCTGTCAAACTCCAAATAGTTGAGGCATCCTTAATTCATTGTTCTATACAAGAAGAAGCGGCTCCAATCATCAGGGCATGCTTAATTGTGATGCATTTTGTCACGATTTACTAATATTCCTCCTTTTCACGTTAAATATACTTTTTTCCATAACAGGATACATCAGACATCCACTGACAATCGATAGATAAGCCTGTATATCGAAAGTCGGTTAAACCATTTAAGCAGAAACAGGTATTAAAAAATAAAACTTCAACTAGTGATAATCAAAGTGGTTACTATGTAAAGAAATGTTTCACTAAAAATAATAAAGCTAAAAGAGTTAGTTAGGAGTTTGAGCTGAAGATGCTGACACATTAAAAAAAGGATTTCAATTACTTTTACGAGTTTATTAAACTTACGTTTTTTAAATGATGGGGTAGCATAGTTTGACAAGTTATGAAGACGTACCTTCACATATCATAATTAATAATAAAATGCAGACACTTATTTGTAACAAGATTTTGTTTAGTTTTCCCACATTTCGTGAATAATCAAGGTGACTGAATTTTGTGGCGGAAACTTTAATATGATTCTGCTTATCTCGGTTTAAGATGGTCAGTGATAGTGAGGAAGAAGATGCAGTGGTGAAGATTGGGAATGTACTGCAGGAAATTGATGAGGAGAACTGGATTACCATGGGTGGGGTCGATGATAGATCTGCTTGTACATTTATAAGGGTAACAAATAATTCCTGTTTACTACAGTATATAGGGATATGTAAAACGACAGGCGCTTTACACTTGTCATACATGTTTAAACGTAGACGAAGTAAAAGCTGCGATTTGTTTTCCTTGTGCGATTGAGTGTCATTCTGACCATGATATAGTTGAGCTATACACCAAACGATATTTCAGATGCGACTGTGGAAACTCAAAATTTGCTGGTGTTTGTAACTGTCTATTGTGGGAGGTAATACAAATCTAGTACTAAATTTCAAAGGAGAAGGACGATGAAAATGATTTGAACCGGTACGATGACAATTTTTCTAACCGATATTGCACGTGTCAACGTCCGTATCCTGACCCGGATTATGATGTAGTTTTTTGTATCTTATTATTTTCTTTACTAGGGTGTCGAAGAAATGATTCAGTGTGGCATATGCGAAAACTGGTTTCACTTGGAGGTAACCTGATTATGACTTCCTAAATTATCTTAGCATCTCAACATGGATAAAGAATTCGAACCACCCGAAGATTATAACGAGATGACCTGTTTTATGTGCATTAAAAAGTACGCGTTTCTATTTATGTATGCATATAACACTGAGGAGACGTTCCGGCAATCTTTTACAAAGAGTAACAGCTTGACTGAGTTTATTTATACTCCAGATTCTAAAAGGTTGAGGAAAACGGTAAATGAAGGCATGACTCATCCGGAAGACAATTCTTATTGTCGTTTGTCCATGTGGGCTAGTAAAATGAAACAACACGTGCCTGAGTTCTGCTGTTCGTCTCTTGATAACTTGGACAACCTCGACCCCAATCTAGTACCATCAGTGTTTTGGATCTCTGATTGGAGAAGCTTCCTTTGTCGATGCGAAAACTGCAAGGTAATTTCTCTCAAAGTTATGTTAGTTGGAATGCCTACACTATTGTTTCTAAAAGCTTGAAAAATTTTAGTGGAAGTGACGTGATCTGCACAATTGTGCATATCCACAGCGTTAACGAGTATTTGACGTATGGTAAATAATGAGTAGTTATATATAAAGTGGCTTCTTAAATATGATTAACGTATTCATCAATGTATTTGTTCCCACTGTCAAGTAATAGGCGTAATTAATGTCTAGCGTATATGCTCGTAAACTACGTTGAGCTTCATATATTCTGTATTTGAGAATGGTTCTAGTTAACGAAATTAGTTCAACGACCACGCTATCCTTGTATTTCAAGTAGTTTAGTAGAATATGAGGAGCCATTCCTAGGGAGTGCGGTGCTGTGGTAAATCCAAGTTTAGCCGGCTAATTAGTTTTCTACGGGAAATACGAGAATGGCTTGCAGGTAGCAATTTAGTGCAGATTTATGGACAACTCTCCCTTAAGGTCAAGTTTATCGCACATTTAAACTATTTGGTAGTACATGGTGAAAATTTTCCACAAGGCTTCCTGCCGTATTTTCGAAGAAATGGAGTATCATGTCTCACCTTTCGTTAGAGAAAAATTAATATAATAAGTTAATAGACAATTTAAAGATAATTATTTTCGTTTTCCAATTGGAAGCCCATCAAAAAACAACAAGTCATCAAATGAGATGACTGGGTCATGTTGCGTATGGTTAGCTAGTTTTTGCCGTGAGGTAATGAATTGATAATAGTCCACGAGTACATTGGCCACCAAACAAATGGGTGCCAGAAGGTAAAGCCATCCTGCTTGTCACCCAAGAGACACTTGTTACGTGTGGTTAAAGGTTCCAGATGACGGGGCTAAAAACAAGTTGTATCAGCGTAGACATATGTTTCCTCCATATTACTTTATTTTTTGTTGTAAACTCAGATTCCTAGTGTCCCTAGTTCAATTTTTTCCTATTTTTCTAATTTCCTGATTTTGCTCACAAAATATCGCAGCTTATGATGTACATTTGTGCTAACTTTTATGTGGGTTACGATTCACTTACTGACAGACCTTAGATATTCGCTGTTATAAAGTAGGTCAAATTCAGATTTTAGGTCTACTCTGAATTTGAGTGGTGCAACTAAGACCATATATACGAGTAATGGGCAGTTAAAGAAGTACGATCCCATAACATTTCCCATTGCAAGGTGAACGATATAATTGATATCTCCGGACTTTTCAGATAATAGGTCTGCACCATAACACTCTTAAAAACTCTCGTCAAAATCTAGGTAGCAAAGTTAAAGAATTGCAGTAAATCCAAAGACATACGATGGCATTTTTTAATGCAGGTAAATTGTTCTCCATCATAATTTTTCTCTTCTGTACGAAGTTTTTCACGATAACGATACACATCGGTGTCAGAAAATGTTTCTCAAAAAATACGAATTTTATTCTAGCAACTATGGTTGTCCAGAATCATGGGAAAGTATCGTGTATATGTCCCAGTATCTCATCACCAGTGATGTTCATCTTATATACCACTAAAATCCAGAAACTGATTATTCGCATCTTTATTGTAATAAAGTTTTCTGATTACTGCGCTCTAAAATGATGGGGGGCACTCTATGGTCAACAAATTCCATTGGTTATGATTGGACACAAGTTTGATTCACGTAATGTCCGAAGACAATTACTTTGAAGTCGAGCAGAACGAATGTGTGTGGGAAACTGAATAAAACAAATTATATTCGAATTATATTATGCATTTCAATGTTTTCTAAAGCCCAAGCCCAAGAATTTTGTCAGCAACGTATGTGTAGTTTGTTATACTCTGTTGCTTTTCTGGACTCAGTAAAGTCAAGATTTTGATTCATGTTGACATACTTTTATTACCAAGCACTTAATTTTACAATTTTTTGGATTAGGAAATGTACAAGCACCTTAATGTCGAATTTCTATTGGATCCTGAAGACTCAGTATCCCATTACATGCAATTGGGAAAACAGAGGACTAAATCGATTAACGAGGAAGAGAAACGCACACTAAATGAGGCTCTTGCAGAGTTGCCGCATCCTGCAGCAGTAAATTTTGCAACGGGTAACTGTCATAATGCGGATTTATCACGTGATATATAATTATGAACTTATAAGTAGAAATAATAGGAACACCTTATAGATATACGCTGATTATTTCGTTCATATTCCTCGTAAATAATTGTTAAATTCAGTACGGGTTACTTCATGCTTGCCATTATAATGCTAATCTAAAACGCCAAATCAGTAAACCTCTGACATACTTTGAACAGATAAAAAACAAATAAAGTATACATGAAAGTTTATAAGCTCCCAATAAACAATACTCCCTGCGTACTTGCGCGCAAAATTTGTGATGACATCGGAATACTAAAAACTCGAGAGGTATTTACAATGTTTTCTGGCTCCTGTGCATCAGCATCTTTTTCTCACGTTTTCATGTGTCTATACATCATAAAGATTTTAATAACTGTCCTAAAACGAAAACAACATACATTTGCCAAGAGAAACAGGGTTTACGCTAGAATCAAGCAAAGTTAGGACGAGTTCGTCACAGTTATTGACTTACATGGTCTTTATTGTACAAGGTAATAACTTATGGAATGTTCGTTATAATACTGGGTGAACAAAAAGTGTTGTATTAGTATTTGTTAAGCAAGGACTTGTAAAAATATCTCGTGGCTTTTGTAGTAGATATATATCACTAAATTCAAAGTGTATTTTCTTGTGAGTTATTTCATTTAGGTATAAATTATGGTTAGATTACTGAGTTACGTCAACTTTGTTACCATAAGTTTGCGGATATTCAGTGTCTACAGTAGAAATGTTTGGGTAAAAAACAATCCATTACCTAGTGTCTAGGTTTATATAGCAGCGCTAGACGATACACTATTGCTCCCAAATAAATAGTAAACTACCAATAAAGCGTAAGACTATAATAACATCTTTAGATCCTGTTCGTATGTTACAACATTCTAAGTAAATATAACTCTATCCGGAAATAGGTCTCTACTTTGTGATGTGAACATCCATACCCAGAAAACGTAGGTTAAATGATGTCAACAATCAGATTATTGTACCTGAAGCGATAAATGGTATCAATCCCACATAAATAGACCTAACAAGCTCTGTAATTGAATACACTGACTGTCATTAGCATATTTTCCAAAACTAATAAAGTATACTTTTAATGTAGGATTCGTACGATTGAAAGAGGCTCTGGAAGAATTTTTCACCAAGAAGAGAGATAAAAACCACGTAAGTACCTCACTTATCTGTTTAGTTCTTTGTACATCAAGTTGTATAAATTGCGAAGAGATCTATGCTAGCCTTTGTTGTCGTAGTTATTTGTGAGATATCATACCATGACCTGATAGAAAGTGTAGCTCACTCATGTGGAAACTTTTTAGCGTCCTCCCTTGTATAGAGTTCAGTGTTGTCTCGAGAAACGTTTGTTATCCTTACGAAACAAATTTTGTTGTTAGATGTTTAAACCCAATACTTGTCCCATATTTTGTGTCAAATGAAAACTTGTTGACCTAGATGTAGGCGATTAGCTTGTTATATTTTCTACTATGAAATAACCATTGACTTCTATTTTTACCATTTCCTACTCATATCCTTTTTGTCTTTCAGATTGTAACAGAATCAGAAGTAAAAGCTTTTTTCGAAGACTTTCGGAAGCGCAGTCAATCGTAACTACATTTGATCGAATAAATTTCAATTAATTTATTTCCTGGATTTATAATATATTCAACCTTGACTGTAATTAAATTCCACTCTGATTAGTGCTCATCGATGTCTATATTTTGCTAATAATCTCTAGTTTTCTTTCTAATACAGTTGCCATTTAAAAATACCCAAATTGTGACAAGCTCGTATGATGTATTTATAAACGACTCTAGGCCTCAGCTTTTTCGCCTCTAGTTATACAGCTGTGATCAACCTCAGACTCAGTAGTTAGTAAGATTATAAGCTTTGTGCCCATCTACACACGACTGTATCCATCATAGGTATTAAAAGATTCGTAGCATTTATGCATCTGATATCACGACCGTTGCTGCTACTTTGACGTGGTGGTCGGGATTGCCTGTCATGATGAACCAATCGAGCTATAGTGGCTGGAACAATAGTTCCTCAAGGTCCTATCATGCCAGACAGGTTGGTTGAAGAGCGGTAAGACTGAAAGCAGCAAACCCATGAGCGAAATATAACAGCGATACCGCCATCCCACAAAGGAAATGTGGGGTTAGAAAACGTCTACTCGAAGAATGCACACTTTGCCTTAGCCCACGGATATCCGTCTCCGACGGTAGGGTCTCAACAAGTACGAAGCTAACACCAAAATTACTAACAAAAGGGTCGTGTGTGGCGGACCTCAAGCAGTTGTTTCTTGAGCACTGTTGTCAAGCTCTCGGATCGTTCAGACGAACTCTAACCCGATTTCCTTCTCAGGTACTTTTAGAAGAACCCTTCCACGATGTGGGCAACCGGGAAGTGATAACTGCCCTCATACCTTTCACAGCACTCAAGCCCACAGTATTCATAATCAATCTTCCTCTCCAATTCCTATTATCTAAGTATTGTGTAACGTGTGACAGATTATTTACGGTGAGATATTGTATGGTATGACAGGTGAGGTAGAAGACTAAGAAGGAAGTGCAGATGACACGGAACTTCCGCATGTGGTTAGTATGTAAACTGGAGACAATAGACTTAGTAGATGTGACTCATTATCAAATTGGGTACATTAGCAAGAGGTACAGAAGGCCAGCCATCTGGGTCTCTGATATCGTTAACTATCTTAGAACCATCTTGTTACGACCAGGAATCTGCGGCGCTTTAACCAGATCCCAAACCAATGGTGCACATGCGCTCCAGTATCCTGCGGGAACAAATAGCGTATGAACCAATCTTTGGTCACCGGCTACCATGGGACTGCATCTCCTTACGATGCTCCACTGCCTTGTGGGTTAGACCTTTAGGTCAAAGGCTCGGGGTATGGCCCTCTAAGATAACCACCTGCTTCGGTTTGGGCACCCGGGCAGTATCACAGCCCACACACAAATGATGAACTCTCTATATCTATGGAAACTACATTTCTCGCTTCGAAAAACAACCAAATGATTCAAATTATTATCATTACTATTATTGTCATTATTATTATTATCACTATTACTATTATTATTTACCACATTATTCACCCTCTTTTGTACTTAGACAGTGGCTCGTCTTTGGCGGGGATTCGACTGTATCTAAACGTTCTCGAGTCACTGTCCGGTTGGAAATTGCATGTTTCCACTGAATATGAGTACTGAAGCAGTTTTTCTGAAACCACGTGCACCATTCAAACTGGCTGCCTTCGGACTGTCCTGCCCTTCATGACTGATCCACCAAATGAGGAGGAAGTCCGCAAGGAACTCCAACTCTCGAAGCGTTACAAATCACCTGGCCCAGATGACTTACCTCCGGCTCTTTTTAAAGATGGTGGTGACTTTCTGACTAAGGAACTGACGACGTTGTTTACAAAGGTTTGGGAACTAGAGAATGTACCGTCATGGAATGAATCGATAGTTGTCCCTATCTTCAAAAACGGTTCACGTTGTTCCTGTAACAACTCTCGGGGGACAAGTCTACTTCCGATTGCTACAAAAGTTCGGATCTACAACGCGTCGGTGAGAGCAGTTCTGCTCTGTGCTTGTGAAACCTGGCCTCTCCGAGTTGAGGACGTTAGAAGACTCTCTGTGTTTGATCATCGTTGTCTCCGAAGTATTGCTGACATCCAGTGTCAACACCATGTTAGTAATGCAGAGGTCCGACACCGTGTGTTCGGGCAAAGATGATAATGCAGTTGGCGTCACCATCTCGAAACACCGACTTCAAGGGCTTGGACATGTTCTACGAACGTCGTCCCGGAGAATTCCACGTCGTGCATTATTTGCAGACTCTGGGACTGGTTGAAAGAAGCGGAGAGGTGGTCAGTGCATGACATGGTGTCGTGGTATGAAAGAAAGCTGCAAAGGACTGGCTTCTGTTGTTCCTTCACGACTCCCTGGTTGGGGACCGAGAGATGGTGCGATACAGTGGCTAGAGACGTTATCAGATATGGCTCAGAATAGAAGCCAGTGGCAATCCTGCTGTAACCTTTTTCTTTCTTTATAAAAATGGTTGTTTCTTCCTTAACTGAAAGATTTCTTCTGATTGTACCTTTCCGTTCCCTCACTACTACCACACTACCTTACACTAATCTCTCAAGTATTGTTCACTCTTTTTTACGCTCCTTACCTTTTTTTCTTTTCTCTTCGAATTCTCATTGTTTTGTGTGGCGCATATATATTGGCGCTCTCTTGTATTAATATTTATGTGTTCAAATAAATAAATCTGCACACACTAAATAAGGCACCTGAAGTGCGTCGTGCGCTGAGTTCTGAAGAAATAAGGGCTGAAGTTAGGTTAAGTTGTTTATTCACAAACAAGGATGAAGGCTAGGTAATCCTGGTGCTTGATCTAGATATGTCCAGTCTTAAGAAACTTTTCTCCTTGGTAGCCGCCGCTAATTTCTTCATTTTCGCCACGAAAAATCCATCGACATTGTGCTTGTGTGGGTAAAAACGTCGAACGCGTGCCATATGTGGATGGAACTGATAGCCTTTGAATCTGTGGAGATAATTATACTTTAGAGAACACTCACCTACGCAGTGAAACCCTTCTCCCCAAACAGTTTCGTTTCCTCCAGACGTACCTTTCTTCGTCTTAACGCAAAGTTTACAACATTCTCATTTTCTTCTACCTTGTTAAATAGAAATAAAAAGATAATGTCAAGACTTTTAATGTAAAACAGGAAACATAATTATATTTAAACATGAAGTTTATGTACGAAAATATTTCGTACTTTGAATGTCTACTTGTATGTTTTTGTCAAACAGTGTGACTTAGTTGATGGGCTAGAGTAACTTGCGAAGTGCTTCCTTCAATGACCTTTGGAATGAGCACTATACGAGACTAAATCTCTGACTGGAGTGACCGGGACAGTGTTATTCATGTTTAACCGACATCGTCGAAGCACGTTTCCTGGAGTAGGCATAGATATTAGAGAAACTAGGAGTTTTCGAATCAGTATATCAGTTTACGAGTTCACTATCGGATTAAGCCATGTTGATAGGTACAAAATGTCCAATTACAGTCAGCGCCCTAATTAGTGTTTCCGAATCTTTGTTCTTCAAATTTGTCTGCTTTTGAACTGAATTATGCAAAGTTTGGTTTTTCTCACTATCATCTTGACCGGTTTTTTATCCATATTTTTTATATCGCAATAACGTTGTCGTGTGTTTGTGTTTTCAGTCAGTAACAACGTAGAACTTCGTACGTACGTACATCATTTCGAGTTGCCACACCACATTAGCACAGAGATGCACATATGTGCCTGGTCCTACGTTGTAGCTGACTGACTGAGAGATGCAGTTGTCGATTCAAACCCCGTAGTGGTAGAGGTAATAAGAGTACAAGCAGTAATCGGGAAGATTAGGGTTTGGAGATGTTATTTAAAGAGTATAATCCAGTGAAATAAATTTGGAAAGAGGAAAAAGGGACATGAAGAATTCAGAAGATTAGAATTTGGGAGAACACAGAGTGGATGCACCTGCGCCATTGCAAACGATTTTGAGCCATGTCATTCAGGGTCTCTAACCATCGGTTGCTATCATCTTGCAGTCCCCAATCAGGTAGTCTACACCTACCAACATGACTCAGTCCACTTGTCAGTGACTTCATGGACTTGTGCCATGTTTTGGTTTGGCCGCCCCTAGCTTTTTTCCAACCTACTCCTATACCACTGAACATCGCACGTCGAGGCAGTCGGTCGTTGGGCATACGTAACACGTGTCCCAGCCATCTCAACTGATGAAGTTTCACTACTTTATCAATTGATTTGCCATCCTTACCTAGTACCCGTTTCCTAACAACTGTGTTACTTACTCGATGGCCCCATGATATACGAGCAATGTTTCGAAGACACCTATGATCGAATACTAGTAACCTAAGAATATCCTCTACTCTTACCGGCCATGTTTCACTGCCATAAAGAAGGACGGAACGAACTGCTGCGCAGTAAACACGTCCTTTGGTTGATAGACGGATGTCTCGCCTACGCCATAAATGACGCAAGTTGGCAAAAGCTAGTCGAGCCTTCTGTATCCGTGCTGAGATTTCGTCACACACTAAACCACAAGGGCTGATGAGACTTCCAAGATAAGTGAAGCGGTCGACACACTTAACTACTTCACTCCCTATCACTAGTTCGGGTATCGATGTAACCCAATCCTGAAGCAACATTTTGCATTTCGAGGGAGAGAATCGCATCCCGAACATGCTTGCATTGTTGCTTAGAGTGGTCAGAAGACTCTGCATTTTGTCAGCGTCTTCACCAAATAAAACTATGTCATCAGCATATTCTAAGTCAACAGGTGAACCTCCCGGTAGAAGTTCAACCCCTGGAAATTTAGATGAGGAGAGTGTTATCTTTAAAAGTACGTCAACCACAAAGTTGAACAAGAATGGGGAGTATGGACAGCCCTGACGAACACCACTTGAGGTAATCAATTCTGATGACAGTTCGGTTTTATGTATGACTGTCACTTGAAAGCGGTAAAAACATTGAATGTGGCGAAAAATATCCATACCTTTGAGACTGAGTGCGCTAG